GTACATTCTGCCTCTACTCGCTATACCGCGAGTAGGGGCATGTCTATTAAACAGTGAGCAGCCCATGGCGGTGGGTGGGGGCCCTAAATTACTTCCAGGGGAGGACCTATCGTCCTCCCCCCGGCCCCACCCCTGAGCGGTGGGTGGGGACCCTAAATTACTTGAAGGGAGGGGACCTATTGTCCTCCCCCCTGGTCACCACTCCTGAGCGGCGGGTGGGGGGCCCTAAAGTAAAATAAAGGGGGGGGACCTATTGTCCTCCCCCCAGGCCCCCACCCCGAGCTGTGGGTGGGGGCCCTAAATTACTTGAAAGGGGGGACCTATTGTCCTCTCCCCCGGCCCCCACCTCTGAGCTTTGGGTGGGGGCCCTAAATTACTTGAGAGGGGGGGACCTATTGTCCTCCCACCGGCCCCCTCCCCTGAGTGGTGGGTGGGGGCTCTAAGTTAGAATAAGGGGGGAACCCAGGGCCGGACTGGGGATACAAAGCAGCCCTGGAAAAAAAATTTGTGCCAGCCCCATAAGTCACTGCGCCATATATTGTCGCGTGTAATATGTAAGGCTATGTCTTGCCAGGACAGATGATTGAGTAATATATATATATATATATATATATTGCTTTTTCTAATATAAAATATTGGTCCTTTCAGGGTAAAACGTTTAATTATATAGTAAGTATACGCACATGCAGACACAGGCAATTTCACTGACATTTCAGTGACACACACACAAGCTCATTGATACACAGCCTCATAGACAAACAATCTTACTGATATACATCAGCTCATTGACATAAAAACACAAGCTCACTCACTAGCAGGCACACGCATGCAAGCAAGCTCACTCACTAGCAGACGCACACACACAGCTTAATGTGGTGGTACTGGTGTCTATTGCATGTCCCTACAGGCTTTTCAACGCAAACACTGACTTTTCAGACAAAAGGCAGTGTTTACATTGCTTCAAAGTGACACTGCTAGTGACAGTCACTCAGACGGTCACTAGAGGTGCTTCCTGTGTTAGTGCCCTCCCGCGCTGCTGAATGAGACTGGCGCCGGAATATGACGTCATATTCCGCGCCGGTCTCATTCAGCTGCATGCTGGGGAGCAGAGCCAGCGCAGCTCGCGCAGCTCCCTCAGCGGCCGCCAGGACAAGTCCGCCAGCGGCCGCCAAAAGACCTCCCCAGCGGCCAGGGGAGGGCTGGCAGCCTTAGGCCTGGGGGGCAAAACCAGTCAAGTAGACTGGTGCACCTGCCCAGGATCAGAGCCGGTGCAAGGATTTTTGCCGCCCTAGACAAAATAAAATTTGCTGCCCCCACATGTCACATCACAATGCCCCACCCATATGATCTGCCATATGAACTAACGCCAGTGCTGCACACGGTGTGTTTACATTAAAAGCCTGCAGGGACCAGCTATAGACACCAGAACCACTTCATTAAGCTATAGTGTCCCTTTAATGTGAGGTAAATTATAGATTAGTGTCACTAATAATATACTAGATTGCCTACTTACAAGCAGATGAGGATGATGATGGGCTGCAGTTTGGCTCCACTGGTCTGGTGTAGAACAGGATCTCTGGAGGCTGTTTGCAACTGTGGTCACAAAATATGTTCTGGGAGAATTGGAAGCAGCTCCATTTTTTTGGGGCCCCTTACACAGCTCAAGGTCTGGGCCCCAGGGCCTGACGGTGAGTATGCCCATAAGGCCCACTCATAATGTTCTACCCACCCATGAGTTCGCTCACAGGGAGTGGAGTGTGTAGGGGGTGTGTTATGTGTTATTGTAGAGGATCTAATATGTGTGCTTATGGTATGTAGTGTTTAGGGTTACCAGTTTGTGCAGGTGATGCAGTGTGTTTGTGTGTAGTGGAAGCAGTGTGTATTTGTATATAAGGGATGTATTATGTGTTTCTGGTTGTGTGTAAGGGATGCATTGTGTGAATCTGTGTTTGTATGCATATGGGATGCAAGGTGTGTGTCTGTATGTGTGTGCATTGAGTGTAAGAGATGCATTGTGTTTCTGTGTGTATGTAAGAAAAGAAGTGTGTGTGTTTGCATATGTGTGTACGGGTTTGCATTGTCTGTTTCTGTGTGTGTGCAAAGGATGCATTGTCTTTGTGTGTAAGGGTTGCATTGTGTGTGTGTGTGTGTAATGGATGCATTGTGTGTTTCTCTGTGTGTAAGGGAAGCATGTTGTGTTTCTGTGTATGTATAGGGATGCATTGTGTGTGTGTGCGCGCGCGTAGTGTGAAAGAGCTCCCTGTCTTGGCCGCTGTCCCATAGAGCTG